CAAATAAATAGCAATAGTCCTTTGTTCTTTTTTTGTTTTTTAGTATAGATATGATTCATGCAATATTTGGGACATATTTAATTTAAAATGTCCTGGATGTGTTCAGAAAAAATAGTAAGTTGTTTTTAAAGGCCTTAGAGGAAGAAAATGGGCAATAATGTGGGAAAGAACTTTGGTTATACATAGAGGGTCTTAGATTCGACACAGAAGACTGAAAACATACTTTTTATGGGGACTGTGGAAAACTTTTTTTAATGTGGGAGTGATATGATCTGACACACACTGTAGGAAAAAATAAGATAGCAGTGATGAAAAGGGGAAAAACTGAGACAAGAAATTGGCCAGAAAGTGACATATAGTGAGGATATTGATTTATTTGGTGATGGGAACGGTTTGGAAATAGAGATGGTTGAGATAGAGTAAAAGCAGCAGATTGGATCTCAGGGACAAAAGAGATGTAAAGTCAAAGATGCTGCATTTATGCCTATTGACTAGGGTGATGATGATTTTGTTAGCAGGTAGGAAAGGAGTAGGACGGAAAAACAGATAATATGAAATAAGGGTCATGTCAGGAGGACCTGGCAGGGTATCCAGATACAGATGCTCAGTAAGCAATTACAAATATTTTTCTGTACTCAGTGATTTTGAGATTTTAGATACTTAAGCTGTTAAATTCAATGAGTTGGGCACTATTAGAAACGAAAGAGGAAGAAGTGATTGAATAGCGAAGAGACAGAACAAGAGTAATGAAATAATTGTGTTGGGTCTTGGAATTCCTGAAGTCAAGGTCAGTCATCACTCTTCAATTATTCAGAGAAGTCAAGAGTGTAGATTGAAATTGGTGCTGGGAATTTTTGAAAGAGCTATTTTAGGAAGGTCACATGGATGAGGGCCACCATGGTTTTGGAGATTGAGGAGTAAATGAGTGATGAAGAAGTAGAAGAAACCAAAGGAGGGGTGCTCCAAGAGAACACGGGGTGGGGGTGGGGGGGTAGAGCCAATAGAGAGGGAAGACTGGGGAATTTAATAAAAGAATGGAGCAAAGTCTGAAAAGAATATGCAGCAATAAGATTAAAGATAACCAACCACTAGGTTAAGTTCACAAGTTTTATCAAGATTTATTTTTTCCACTTGCATATTGTTAGGGGGTATGGGTGAACATACAGACATTAATTGTAGGATTATGACCCATAATAAAGGTTTTAGCTCAAAGTCAATGGTGTGAGGAAGAATTTTTAAGGAGGCTGATAAACACTCTAAAATAGTAGGGAAGTTTGAGGCTGAATGAGCCTCTGGATGTATAGCTTTGATCAGCTTTTCAAAGGGATCACAAAAGGTGACAAAAAGAATTTAAAAAACACTATTCTACATTTCCTACAATAATAATAGTATGTCATAATTTTGATATTCATAAAACTGACAGCTAATTTAAATTTTAGCCTAAAACTGTAGCCTAAAAGGACCCCTACTACATGAGGGTTAATAATAGACCTCTAGGGGAGAAACCAAGATGGCAGCATAGGTAAACACTGGAAATTGATGCCTCGCACAACCACTTCAAAAATACAACTAAAAGACAAAACAGACATCACCCAGAACCACAGGAAGGCTGGCTGAGTGGAAATTCTACAACTAGAAGGAAAGAGAAAAGCACACTGAGACTCAGAGGAGGTGCAGAAGTAAAGTGCAGAGGTATGGAAGCACACGTGGAAAGGGCTGGCAACGGAGGACGCTGGTGTCTTTTTCAATCGAGAGGGAGTCTCAAGCTCCCGACTGCTCTGAACTCCAGTTCCGGGCGAGTCTCTAGGGACCCAGACTCGTATGGGGAGAAACTGGACTGTCTGGCATCGGTCGGAACTTGTGGGTGGCTTTCTCTCAGAGGTGCTTGCAGCGATTACCGAGACACTGAGACACGGGGCCTCTTAGGGTAGGACTGAGGGGCAGCCATAGCTGCTTGCTCCACCTTGTTAATTCCCTGAGACCCCGCCCCACCCAAGACATACACAGAGGCTTTTGCATATGAAAGGCTTGGCCCTTTGCAATCTGAAAATTACCTAACAAACTGCAGCTGGGTTAGAGAGACCCAGAACTTCCAAAAGAAGGCCCAAGGCCCCACAGCAGCTTGCATTGCTTCACAGCTGGGCCTCATCTGGGCACCTCCAAACCCCAAACAAAGAAGAGGAATCTTCATATCTCTCCATAGCTCCTGCTGGGTAGCCTCAGGAAGAGGCTAAATTAGCACCTCCTTAGAGATCCAAGAGCCAGTGTACCTAGTGGTCAGATTGGGACCATCCAGATTACAACTCCTCAGATCCATAATGGACACACTAAGGGGGCAGACTCAGTGAGCACCAAAGCCCCACAGAAGCAAGTCTTTCCCCAGAAGGGTGTCTCCAGCACAGAAATTCTCCCACTGCAAGCACAGCTGATTCTCACAGACAATTGGCCTAGAGGTCAATTCCTCCCAGTGATACCTACAACAATCAAGGCTTAACCACAACAAGACTGTGCACAAAGCCCACAAAGGGGTGCACCAAGAGTGTCCACCTCAGGTAATTGGGGAGGCTGAGCCACTGGGCCCTATAGGACACCTAGCACAGAAAGCCACTCTATCAACACAGGCAATCATAAAAAATACGAAGACAAAGAAACAGGTCACAAATGACAGCAATGGAGGAAAGAAAACTACTGGATATAGATTTCAAAACCACACTTATAAGATTTTTCAAGAATTTTCTAGAAACCGCTGATAAATTTAGTGAGACCCTCAAGAAATCTAGTGAGACCCTCAAGGATATGAAAAAGGACCAACTAGAAATTAAGCATACACTGACTGAAATAATATTATACAGAGTTCCAACAGCAGACTAGAGGATCGAAAGAATCAAGTCAAAGATTTGAAATACGAAGAAGCAAAAACCACCCAACCAGAAAAACAAAAAGAAAAAAGAACCCAAAAATATGAAGATAGTGTAAGGAGTCTCTGGGACAACTTCAAGCGAACCAACATCCGAATTATAGGGGTGCCAGAAGATGAGAGAGAGCAAGATATTGAAAACATATTTAAAGAAATAATGACAGAAAACTTCCCCTACTTGGTGAAAGAAATAGACTTACAAGTCCAGGAAGCACAGAGAACCCCAAACAAAAGGAATCCAAAGAGGACCACACCAATACACATAATAATTAAAATGCCAAGAGCAAAAGACAAAGAGAGAATCTTAGAAGCAGTAAGAGAAAGAAAGTCAGTTACCAACAAGGAAGTACCCATACGACTGTCAGCTGAATTCTCAACAGAAACTTTGCAGGCCAGAAGGGAGTGGCAAGAAATATTCAAAGTGATGAATACCAAGAACCTACAACCAAGATTACTTTATCCAGCAAAACTATCATTCAGAATTGAAGGTCAGATAAAGAGCTTCACAGATAAGAAAAGGCTAAAAGAGTTCATCACCACCAAACCAGTATTATATGAAATGCTGAAAGGTATCTTTTAAGAAGAGGAAGAAGAAGACAAAGGTAAAGATACAAATTATGAACAACAAATACACATCTATCAACAAGTGAATCTAAAAATCCAGTGAATAAATAATCTGATGAACAGAATAAACTGGTGAATATAATAGAATCAGGGGCATAGAAAGGGGGTTAACTGACTATTCTCAGGGGGTAAAGAGGTGTGGGGGGTGCGGGAAGAGACTGGACAAAAATAATACACCTATGGATGAGGACAGTGGGTGGGGGAGGTAAGGGCAGAGGGTGGGTAGGAACCGGGTGGAGGGGAGCTATAGGGGGAAAAAAGAGGAACAAATGTAATAATCTGAACAATAAAGATTTAATTTAAAAATAAAATAAAATAATAGACCTCTATAAGTGTATGATACCTCTTTTCTACTTGATTCTCAAAGATGCAAAGAATTAAAACAAAATCCACTATGGTGTAAAACATTGCTGATATAAATTAAGCATAAACTAACTAAATGTAGATATATTATGTTCATTGATTAAAAGACTTTATAATTTTAACATGTCAATTCTCCCTAAACTGACCTACAGATTCAATGCAATCTTGATTATAATCTCAGTAATCTCTTTTGGTAGGCAGATGCAAAGGACCTTTAATATCCAAAACAATATTAAACAGTAAGTACAAAGTTGTGGGACTTGACTTGGTAATTTAACAGAGTTATGGCAATTAAAGTATTGTGAAACTGCCTAAGGATGGACAAGTAGAACAATAGAAGAGAAGAGAGCCTAGGAATAGACTCCTACTTATTCAGTCAAAGGCACCAATAAGTGTTGCTGGAATAACTAGATAGCCATATGGAAAAACTGAACCTCAATCCCTACCTCACATGTAATAAAAATTAATTCAATATGAATCATATGCCTAAATATACAAGGTAAAACATAGATATTTCAGGTAATAAAACCATGTTGGGCATGTGCTGGGGGGTGAGGGTGGCTGGGGAGAGGTCAATGGGGGAAAAAGAAGACATATGTAATACTATATGTAATACTTTAAACAATCAAGAATTAAAAAAAAACAAACACTTTGGATCTTCTCAAAGTCACCACAAATATTGTCCTACTTCTTTAAAATATTGTTACCCAATTCCCTTTTATAATTAAGTAGTTATACTGAATACTTAGAACACAGTTCAGTCTGGGTGGCTCTAAGATAATTAAGCAATTGGTTAAAAAAAATAGATAACTTCTACAATAACCTAGATGTGAATTCTGTCTGGCAGACATTTTCTTACTACTGTTTATTATTTAAAGTTTAAGGCAAATAATTCACTCACCTTCAATGGAAAAAGTTGCCTAGATTTAGCTCAAATGGTTCCAAAAGAGATTTTCTGGTTTTTAATATAATTGCATTATACAGATAAAAGATTCTAGATATTTTCTTACTTGCTTCTCTCCCCTCTGCCCACTTCCTCAAGAAAGAAACATAAAACACAACAACAACAGTAAAACATGCAACACAAGCCACTCACCGGAGCCCATACAGAACTGTTCCATCAGGATGCAGCCGGATCATTCGGTTTTTCACTGTAACCCCATGCACGAATGATTTCTTGTCATTCAGAAAGTACGTATCTGGTACCCAGAGTTGGTCGGCTACCCTGTTGTCTAGTGTGAGGTTTAGCGGGACTCCAGAATAAGAAAGCCTTTTGTCTTTCCAAGACTGCTGGAAATACATGGTGAGTGTATAATCCTGTGAAATAAAGGAAACAAACAACAAAAAAGAATTTACTGTCATCGTCATTATCATCGTCATTATCATCATCATCATCATCATCATCATCATCATCATCTGAGGACTTTTGTTAAGAAGGTGATAGCTTGTGGTATTGTGAATGCCCAGAGACACATGGTCCCGTCCTGCTGTCCCTTAAGGGGATACATTTGAGTGAGTATATTGACATCTGCACCTCTAAGCACAAGGCAACCAATAGGTTAGAGGTGCTACAGCAATAATTAGATGCATGCACAGCCATTCCCACCAACATAGAAAAAAACAGTTAATTGAATTTTAATATTTGACGTTAAGGTGATGATATCACAGGAAAGGTCAAAAAGGAAAATTATACCAAGCCATGTTCACAAAAATTGACCTCTGGATATTATATTTACTACATATTTGGAGGGAATGTTTGCTAAGTAATAACTAAAAATGTATGCATGTAAAAGGAGAGGGTGTTTTGCAAACTGTGAATGCCTTTTGAATGAATACTGTTGTTTGCCCTATGAAGATTATTAATACCATTATCTGAATCTTTCTAGAGATGACAACTTGTCTAATAGTCCTGAAAGGTAGTTTATAAAGCATTGGATGGAGATGTTTATTTGGCCTGAGAACGACAACAGTGGTGGAACTGCTCATCAGTTCTTCTCTTACCCTCATCCCTGCTTTGTTTCAGGAATTTGTTTGAGGTCAGAGATAGGTTTGTACTTGAGTTTGCTTTCTCACCTCCTATAAAAGGTTACACTAAAAATTATAGAATGATTATTTTAGATCTGTAATTGTCTGTTTTTGTATTTTCTGGTTTTATTATTTTTTTTTAATTTCAGTGAGAGGAAAGGAGAAAGGAGAGAGAGAGAGAGAGAGAGAGAGAGAGAGAGAGAGAGAGAGAGAGAGATGTGTGAGAGAGAAGTATCGTTCAGCTGCCTTCTGCAGTGCCCCAACTGGGGATCAAATCTGCAACCAGGTATGTGCCCTGACTGGAAATCAAACCTACCACCCTTTAGTGTATGGAACAATGCTCCAACCAAATGAGCCACATCAGACAGGGTTAAAGAAATCCAATAATACAAATGATTGTTGTCCATTAAAAAAAAATAAATGGTAGCAATGACATCACAATGTTGGTGCAATGCCATTGCTTTACAGAGTGGTATGTACACTACATACCACTCACTAGTTGAGAAACATTGACTCACATCATGCCTCACATGTGGGCAAACTGCGCTTTATCTAGATCTCTGGATGGATATTTATGCATTTCTTAAGAATAACACAATATTCAGTCTGGATAATGAGTTTCAGTGCCCTTTAACCATTATATTCAAGAATGCTTACACTATTTACTCAGAAACCATCTTGCAATAATTCAAAGCTTATTATTTCTTGTTCAATGACAAGGATATATGCTATTTGCTATTAATCATGCAATATTCCCTTTAAATGTCTAAAACTTCCTTCCACCTTACCTTCAATTACAAAGGAACCCACAGGTTTATACACAATTCTCTTGTTAATTGTTACCATTCTTATCTGTGTTCTCTTTAAATTAACATCATACCTTTTCAGAGGGAAATGAATTAGAAAAATTCTGGATCTTTAGATTCCAAAATACCTTGATTCCAAGATCTACCACATGCAGAGCTATGTAACCATGACCAACTAACTTAACCCCTTATATTTCGAATGCCTCATTTTAGAAATAATAGCATTTTACTGGCTTACTGTGAGCATTACTTGGGAAAATTATGGTGAAGGTACTTTAGAAACTATAACATGCTACACAAATATTATCTTCAAAATTGTTCATTGCTATTTAAAGATTTATATCATACTTCCAAATTACATATTCATTTTCATAAGCATTTCTATTTTTAAAGAGATGCTTATTAAAGTACTTGTAGGCAGAGGACCTCTTTGACCATGAAAATAAGCAACCAACTGTGATCACTTGTAAGTTTTGGTGTTGGTTTCTTATTTGTAATTCAGCCAGTGTAAGATAAGTAATAACTAGCCAAAGACATGTTATTGTAAATTCTGCCATAGGAATCAGCATGATCAGCAATAGAATACATGTTTCAATGTGGGGGGGGATGGTGGTGAGGGGAGGTGGAGAAGGGTATAGGGGTATAAATGGTGATGGACAGAGACTTGACAGTGTACAGATAATGTGTTGTAGAATTGTGCACCTGAAACCTGTATAATTTTGTTAACCAGTGTCACCCCAATAAATTCAATAAATAGGAAAAAATACTCATGTTGAATACCCATAAACTTCCAGAATCTCATGAGTGCTACGAAGGATTTCCTCAGAATAAGACCATGAAGTGAAATTCTTACTCCATATTCTCCTCAATAGTTTTAATGTGTACTGGGAAAACATTTATTATTGTCAAGTATGAAAGATTATAATGACAAAATAAAACTGTAATAATATACACTATAATTAAAATATGAGTTTGTGGTAAGTAAACATTGGAGAGTGAAAAGGAGAAAATAATGTAAGCAGGAGTAATCTCTGCATACATTTGAATGTGTGTGTTGGGGGGAGGTGGGGTTGTGGGTGTGTGATTTTTCCCTTCTCTTTCTGGAAACTGTTTTGTTTCCCGTAGAGAAAGAACTATACACATGCAGTAAGATCTTTTCTCTACACAACTCACACTATTTTCAATAAACATTGACTAAAAGTCACATCATGGTTTTAAATTAGAGCAATAACTTACTCTATTTTCAATAAGAAGTAATTCAGTGAAAATTTATGCTCCAAAGTTACATTTGGAAATGGGTGATGTGGGACAAGTACCTTTCAGAGTGTTTCTTCCTAAGCATGTCTAGGGTTATTATTTTAATCTATAACCTGATTATATGATAAATGAAATATAGACATATGAGATTCCTAACCTTAATAAAAACTTTTTGAAGTTAATGATAATGATAAACATTTTGGAAAGACCTAAAGCACAGCAATCTCTTCTTTTAGGACCATCTACATTGTACCTTACTCAAGACAATAATCTCTTTCTCCCAGAGGGTGCACTGTGGTTTTTATAACCCTTCATATCTACTATCACCATTCTTCTCCAAACCTTGTGAGACCGGCAAATTCTCTATGATAGACATTATGATCTACGTGTCTGAGAGATGACAAACTGTGCCTTAAATGCATTATTCTTTCCCTCTAAAGCTTAATATAAATATTAACAGTGACATCTGAATATAAAAAAGCCTATGACATCATTTTGGTGTATCCTATTTTTATATAGAAATGAAAAGATTAAAATTATTGTATTTTTTTTCCTCATACAACAGATTTTCTATTAATTCTTCATTAGTCCAAAGTGCAAGCACTCCAGGGAGAATGAAAGTTCAGGGAAAAAAAATCAAAGGTATTAATAATTTGGTGGGAACCACTAAAATAATTTTTCTTCCCAAGTATATTTACAAGTCTCCAATCTGCTTTCTCAGGTTTGCAAGCTACTCCTTAAATGGAAGTGGGACATATTTAGAAACTACAGGCCGTAGGGGATTCTTTGATACTGAGGCAAATTAATGGGATTAATGGGTATGAGAGAGCTAATGAAATTGGTCAGGCTAACTCAGGCATGACAAAATTCAGTTCATTGAGGAAAAGGAAGATAGATGATAGCAAATTGGAGTACTCAATCGAGCTCCAGAAGGGCATACTTTTTAAATCTAAAAATGTTTAAAGAAATAAGAAAATACTTACAACAAATGAAAGTCATTCTTTTGAAGAATAGAAATTACACTTGTTTTAATAGCAGTTTAAATTCAGGGCAATTTTGACACCCCCCCCCCCCCCCCGAGCACATTAGGAACATCTGGAGGCAGTTTCGTTGTGACAGCTGGGAGTAATGCTGTGTGCTACTCGCATCTGTGGGGAGAGCCAGGGACGCCCCTATATATTGCACTGCACAGTACAGTTACCTCAGCACAGAATTATTTGATTCAAAATGCCAGTAGTGCCAGGGTTAAGAAACCCTACATTAGATGAATATATCTTTCTTTTTAGTATCATGAAAAAATATCAAAATCTTCTATCATTATTTATTATGAAAAGTATGTACTCTAATATGTCTACCCCAAGACTTTAATATACCCCTTGACACTTTGTGAGTGGTGGCATTAGATCATGTATAATTTGCCACTTTACCATGAGAAATCATTTGATAAAAATCCATTAATTATCTAGCACCCAAATAGAGGAAAAGAGTTATGTGTTAGGCAAATATATTGAGGTATGCATTTTACCAGTATGAGCTCTAAGAAGACTTCATAGTGGGTTGGAAAAGTGAGCATCCCTTATTCGCTGCCTCCACAATCAGCACATTTCAGTCTAATTTGTTAGTAAAGAGACAAAATAGTGCTTTAACATCCTACAATATTGCATCCATTCATAAGGCCCATGCGAGCAACCCCTCCTTTTTAAATTATTTCAAAAAAGGCCACATAGGGGGTTATGGTGGGATAAGGACATATATGTAATACCTTAATCAATAAAGAAATTTTAAAAAAATTAAAAATTTTCTTTTTTAAAAAGGCCACATATATAATCAGGATATATATATATATATATATATATATATATATATATATATATATATATATGTATTCCCAGGGTTCTTGCACACGTTTGTATTTTATCTTTCATCATGTGAATATACATTATAAGGGGTCCCAAATACAAATCCCTCTTTCCTGAAAATTATTTTTCCATTGTACATGAACTCAATATCTGCTCTTTCCAAAGCTAAGGTTGTTTTCTCCCAAAGGAGGACTGTAGTAGAGCTGTGCATTGTTGTTTACCACTTTTACAGTCCCTTTGTGATAGAAACTGCCCTGTCTACAGCCCTTGCTGGTTGAGCAAGGCCAAGTTCTATATCATTTAATATTGTCCCCATCCACCTTGAAAATGGAGAGTAGATATCTTGCTTAAGAGCACTTGATCCACAGGC